TTCTACCAGACATTCCCAGCAAACAGTCACAATACATTTGGGTCCACCAGGTTGGCCCGACACCCCCCCCCCCCGACCCGTCCCCCGCCATCAGAGCCGGCACACCACCAGGTTATAATCAGTTGACAGCTCCGCCCCTCGCTTCACCAGTCGTGTCACCACAAATCTGGAGACACGACCACAATTTCAGATCATTTGCAATAAAAAAACATATTTGACAATAATAGTACGTTTAAAAGTGCCATATTAAGGGTGATCTCTGTTTTCAGGTTCTTTTCCAAATACTGTGATTTTGTGGCAAGGTTCGAAGGTAGTTATGTTGGGTAATATTTATACACTGTTGTCATTTGTACTCCTTTCTATTGGCGATTATGACAGGAATATGCATCTGCTCATGAGTGAGGAGGATATCAGGATTTAATTAATCTGATGGCCTGTGGGTTGATTGTTGCTGTAAATGGGCATGAGCTACCGAGGTATCATTGCAAAATGTAGGTGATAGCCTCTGTGTAATTAATGAGACGATATATTTGAAGTAGAACAGATACGTAATGCAGACATGAGCAGAGAGACTGTGTACTGCATGTTATCAGCTCAAACGGACCTGCAGCGAGAGTTTAGAGGAACTGAATAAATAAAGACTAAAGAAGAGTGATTCCAGAGGAGATTAAAATGATCAATAAAGAGGTCAAGATGACCGCAAATGCGTGCCAGCCAAGTGTTTGTCGACCAGCATAATGAAACATTTCATGCTGCAAGATAAGGCCAGGAGAGGGCCGCTGATAAAAGGGTGATCGACCATGTGTTTTTAACGATGCAAAATGAGAATGAAAGTCTCCTCACCTGCTTGGAGATTCGGCGTACTGTCTCTTAAGTTCCCCTGTGAACGGATGGAGGATGGGAATCCAGTAAAACAGGAATAATATTAATGTCCATAACCTTGGCTGCGGGGTAACAATGTGCGATGGCACTGGAATAATGGATACGCCTAATTACTGTATATAGTCTCTCGCGATGAGAGTGGTGGGCACGAACAGAGGAGAAGGAGCACCGAAAGAGCCACAGCATCCAGAAGCAGAATCTTACCCACTACCGCACAGAGTGACACTGGCGAGGCCAACTGACTGAAATGGTGGGGTTTGGACACTCTAAGAGAATGGCGGACAAGAACAAGGTAGCCTACTAGCACGCTAGGACACTGAATACCTAAGCAGCTACATGCAGCTCCCATTGTAAAAGCCACCCATTCACAGCAGAGAGCCACCGTGTGTGGCATGGAAGTCGAGGGAACAGGACCAGAGACCACAGCACCTGAGCCGACTGAGCAGAGCTATTGAACCGTACCGAATTGGCCATATTTTGGAAGGGAAATCACTGAACTTTATATGCCTGTAATTCAAATTGTTACGAATATTTTCAAAATTCCCAGGTCACGTAATTGCGAAACATATTGAAAACAAGAAAGAGTTCCGAGACAATTGCAGATGCGGCATCGATTCGTAGACTGCAGTGACTCAGTACTCAGGCATTCACAGTTGAAGCAAAACTGACAGGTCTGGCGTTAGCCAAAAGCTAATGATTTGAGGCAATCAAGTCTGCATCCCAGGCAGTAATTGTCTGAGATGCATGCAGATCAAACAGAAAGACAAAGCATTGGAAAGAGAAAGAGGCTTAGCGTGTAATTTGTATTGAAGACCAAAAAACGGAAAAAAGTTCAGAAAATGACCAATAAAGGAAGAGAAAATCTGGAACAAATGCCGCTCTCCTCAAGGACAATTTCAAGTTTTCCCATTAACCTACTATGCATGTTTTTGGAAGGTGGGAGGAAACCAGAGTATCGGAGAAAACCCCCACAGGCTAGGGGAGAACATGCAGACTCCACACAAGAAGGGAATCCCACATGCAGGATCCGGCTCAATAAATTGATTTTATTTTTAACAGGATTCAAATTAAAGTATTAAGGATTTCATAAAAACGCAGTCATTCAACCAAACAAAGAAAATTATGAGATGGTCCTTGTTGACTTACGTCTAATTAAAAAAATATATTTTCAAAATTCTGCAAGAGTATGTAAACTTATGAGCACAATTGTACAAATCAGCAGTTTGTTTAGTTCTTTCTGATATTTTAGAATGATAAAGGCCAACACGTTTTTGAATTGAATGAATTTAATTTGCTATGACTGTATTGATTATAAGCAGATGTAGATATGACGTCATAGCTACTTATGTATAGATAACAATGACTGAATAAATTATTTATTTTGAACATGTGTGAAGATGACATGAATAGAACAGCCAAACAAAAAAAAAAACTACCATAAAAGTAAAATTTCAAGTTCAAAATTTCAGATTGTACATGTTCAAAAAAGATAAAATATTTTGAAAAAAATATTGCTAAAATGTACACACCCTTAATTCCTCAATACACCAAAAGTCATCACTTTATCATTGCAAATTATCATTCTCATTTGTAGGTTGTGCTGGGCAGAACATTTCTGTCACAATTTGAAAAATTTCAAAACATTTTTTCACAATTCTATAATAAAATATTGGTCAGTCCGCATGTGTGGGTGTTATTTGTACACGTTATTGGCCCATCTAAGCGTCATATTTTTGGGGTCTCCTGAAAAGTAATGAATTTGGAGGGAAGAGGATTCCACCTGCCAGTGATAGAACGCTTAACTAACACAATAATACAAAAATTGTATTATGAAAACAAGGTAAAAAAAAAACTATACCTACCGTATTTTCTGCACTAAAAGGCGCACTGTATTATGAGGCACACCTTCAATGAATGGCTATTTTGTCATTTTTTTTCATACATTGGCACAATCTACAATGCCTCCACTAGATGGTGCTATGCTCCTTCCATTCAACTCGAGAGGCGTCCGTTGAACTCGAGACGCGTTCATGACCGCCACTGAAAAATGTAAATTAACTATTACTGCACTTAAATGAAAATAACGAAATCTGAAAATAATGCATCAAGCGAGGAAATCACAAAGTAAATTCTATATCCCCCCTACAGAATTTATTTTGTGATTTCCTCGCTTGATTTTCTTCGTAGTTTCATTGAAGTAATCATTAATTTACGTTTTTCGGAGGCGGCGATGAACGGCTCTCGAGAAGAAGAGAAGGCACGGAGACGGACAAAGACGTACACTACCTGTATTTGTTGAGACTGAAAAACATTAATAAAGTCTGCATTTATAAAAATATATAAAACCACACCTTTCCTTTTTTCAACAAATACAGGTGCGTCTTCGTCCGTTTCCGTGCCTTCTTTTCTTCCGTTCAACTCGAGAGGCGTTCATGACCGCCTCCGAAAAACGCATTGGCATTTCCTTGACCATAGATCCAACAGAACGATTAGATGTCAGTCGTAGTTATTTATTCCTTTGTTGTGTATTCATAAATGATGAAATCACAAGATGAATTCTGTAGGGGGGACTATAGAATTTATTTTGGGATATCCTCGCTTACTTTTCAGTTTTGATGTATTATTTTCAATTTTCGTAATTTCATTGAAGTAATCGTTAGTTTCCGTTTTTCGGAGGCGGTCTTGAACGCCTCTCGAGTCGAACTGAAGAAGAGAAGGCACGGAGACGGACAAAGACGTACCTGCATTTGTTGAGACTGTTTTTAAAAAAACAACACCACAGCTCTCCTTCTTTTCGGAGCCGCAACAAAAACTTATTTAATAAAGCAGCGACACAGTTCACTGAACCAACAGCAAGTTATTACAGTGTAAGCATGTCTCCAGCAAGGAGCCATCTTGGGGTCGACATATTACCGTAATGACCATACACAAGGCGCACCGGATTTTAAGGCGCTCGGTGAGCTTTTAAGAAAATGGAAGACTTTTTGGTGCGCCCTATAGTGCGGAAAATACGGTAAATAAAATACATCATGAATCATTTTTGGCCCTTATAATATATTTATAATGTACCTACTTTGGGCTCATATTTTGCAAAGATCAAGTGTTTGAACTTGAGATATTAAAGTACATCGGTTGAAAAAAAATGCTCGAGGCATTTTTCCTGCCTCGAGAACCCGCTTATTTACGTGTATGCTGTCAGGAAGAAGTCATTTTAAACACAGCAACAATTGTTCAAGCTCTACATGACGGTAAAATGCCGCCACTGCGGAAAGAAGGTTAACTACCTTACCAAGTAATATATGGACATCAATACCTTGGCGCATGTTTATTTTCACGTCGTTCCTGGCAGCGTGTGTGTGTGTGTGTGTGTGTGTGTGTGTGTGTGTGTGTGTGTGTGTGTCTGTGTGTGAATAGTGTCATAAGTGACAGTGAGGAAAACCCCACACACTGATCAGATGCATTTCAAAACATTTTCGTGTGCTTATTAACGAAGTGTGACGGTTCAATATGCCACCACAGATACATTGAAAGCTCCCAAATCGCCCTTTTGATCAAGAAGACAAGAAACCGAATCGAATTTAAGTGAGAACCTGTCGTATGTAAGTATGACTTTTATTTTACATTGTTTTCTGTGTTAAACTATAGTTTTCCTCTATTAAATGCGTTTTTTTTTAATATTTTTGTGTGTCTGGTATTGATTACTTCAACCAGAGTAATCAACAAAACCAAAGGGTCCATGATCGAGGTATCATGGACTGAGGCAGGAACGGTATATATTGGAATTTAGAATTGTGGGAAAGCCATCCGTTAGTTCAAACACAAACCATATATTTACTCACCGACATTGATCACTAAGCAAATGCGGATGTATATAATCGGTGGGTCCTATTAAACGATTATTTAACAGTGTGTCTCAGTATAGATATATTTCAGCAAAAGTAAATGCTTGCATTACAAATTGCAGTTGTGTACCCTTTCCAGTAATTTTCATGGTAATGTGCAGATGATTTATGGTCGCTCCCAAATTGCAGTGAGATAATAATAGTCCCTGCGACTTCCCATTAATTAAATCGTGAGAGGTTTCCTTGCATTTATGGCCAATTTCATTAGGAGCGTACCTCATACAAATCCAGCATCTGGTTCCCTCCTATGCCTTTAGTGGTTTTGACGTTTTCCATGGCCAAGGTGAAGTAGATGCCTCTCGTGTCAGACAGGTAGAGGTTATAGGTGTCATTCTGGTTCCACTCTTGGACTGCGGCAAATACCTGCTTTTCATCTGTGCTGACAATGTGTAAATCCTAACAGGGAGCAGGGAGAGATTAAAAGGAGTTATGACCGGAGTCTTAGAGCGGTGCGATTAGAGCAGGATGACCCTGTGGAAGTGGTCATAAGATCAATGATGTGCTATGAATATAGACAGAATATAGACAATGACAAATTGCACCGGATACTGTTTCTTGTGCTGTATGTCACTTGCTGATACAAGAAGTATTACTTGCAAAGAGAACCGGTAAAAAATGCACATTACCATATTTGAAATTCGCATTGGAGACACCCTTCATGAATGTCATTTTAGCCGATGAACTTTTGTAGTGTGACGTTCACCATACGACACCCACAACCCCCTTTGTCTTTTACGTTGGGTAAGTTGGGTAATATCCGTGCAAGATTCTCCAACACCCTCCTTTGGATTGATCTCCTGTTGTCGACCCTGCTTTCCTATGGCCCTTGTAACTCGCCGTTTTTCTGGTAATCACCCTCAGCTTTCTGTTCCCGACTATGAATTCTCCCTTGGCCATTGCTACTTTCTGTTTGCCCGTCCCCATGGCTGTTTGGTGTTTCCTGTTGTGCTAACAGTAAATTGCGGACATTAAAAGTAATTTCCAATGATTACCGTGGGTTGGTGTACTGTGTTTTGATTTTACTTTTACCTCTGAAACTCCCACTATTTCCGGTACAATATACAGATGCAAATTGCAGTATAATGTGTTTTGTGTTATTCGTCCTACTGTTTCTTGGTTGTGTGGACCCTCGCGAGACACACAGTCAGGCTGGGGTGAATTAGACAGCGAGTGTTGGGGCTGTCCAATTTGCCACAGCTTCACTCCCTGCGCCGTGTGTGGTTAAACACAACAGAGACACGTAAGGGAAACTGTTTATTATAATCACTAGTCCACAATCTAATGAGCTACCAAGCTCATGAGCAGACTGGCAGTGGGGTCATCACATATGTCAATGTCCCGCTTGTGTTGTTGTGCGTGGGTCCACACAACACAGCACAATTTATTATCAAAGATAGTATCACACAATTTGCAGCCTGTGGCTCATACTGCAGATATTGTGTGAGCCATAGTAACATATTTAGCTGATAGGCGAGGTTCGAGTGGGGCGTGTTTTCACAGCATCCAACAACTGGGAAGAGGGCTTTATTTTTCAGTTTTTGAGCCTCATTTTATATAGTGAATCTCAAATTTGCACACCATGCACAACCATAAGAACCCAACTAGGGACAACTTAAAGAGTGTCCCATTGACGTGCCACGCGTGTTTTTGGAATGTGGGAAGAAACTGGAGTACCCGGAGAAAATCTCAGCTCAGAGTTCATCAAGCTTTTTCCATTGCCAGGCACTCGATTTGGAATGGCTCCCGTTAAATGTTAGTCAAGCCCCTTGCTCGTCCATCTTAAAACACATTTTTATTCTTTGGCTTTCGACTCGGTGGCAGACTTGGCATTGTTTTGGGGTTTTATTGTGTTTACTGTTTTTATGTTATGAGTTTTTGGGGGCTTTTTTGTATTAACTGTCTTTGTTTTTAGATGTTTGATTTTTACTTTATGTACAGCACTTTGGATGCAGCTGTGGCTGTTTTTAAAATGCTCTATAAATCAAGCTGTGTTGAGAATATCCAGGTGCTTTTTTGCAAACTTCAAACCTGTAGCAATGCTTGTTTGTTTGTTTTTGTGGATAGCATTGGCATGCGCCATGGTGTGCTCCAATGACAACCATTCTTGTTTACTTATTCATAGCTAGTCAACCGAGATGTTGTGGCATGTGCCAGAGATTTCTGTAAAGCTTTGGCTGACACTTTTGGATTTTTATTCACTTATTCAGCATCCTGCGCTGTACTGTTGCGGCCACTCCAAGTCAAGTAGCGAGAGTACTGAATTTTCTACATTTATAGACATTCTGTATAATCCTAGACTCATGAAGTTCACGGAATTTAGAGATTGTTATGACCCTTTCCAGCCTCTTGCAAGTTAACAATTCTTCACAACATCACACACACACACAGACCACTTCACAACAATCGTTCTTCAGATGTGTAATAAAAACCTCAAAGCATATAGAGTGGTACCTGGATTTCCGAGGTCAGTTCATTCTGTGACTGAACTTGAAATTCAATTGATTTATATCTCAGATGATGGAATGCTGAATTTAAAGCTGTGACATACTGTACAGTATTTCACACTATTGCATCGCCTCCTTTTAACAACACTCAATGGGAGTTTGGTAACTGAGGACACTTATTGTTGACACTTTGATGGTGAATTATTTCCCATTCTTGCTTAACGTAAGTAAGTTGCTCAACAGTGTACGTTGTCATAGTTTTTCATTTTTTTAAGCTTTTGATGATATTATAGACCATAGATGGCGTAATCCCTAAATTCCTTGCAATTACACGTCGAGAAATATTGCTCTTAAACTGTTGGACTATTTGCTCACGCAGCTGCTCACAAAGTGGTGAACATGGAGTAGTTACTTGTGAACAACTGAGACTCTCAGGGGTGCTGCTGTTTTACTCGCCATCATCCTGTTTGACTGTGTAATGATCTAAACAGGTATTTTTTGGGCATTCCACAACTTTTCCAGACTTTTGTTCCGCCTGTGCCAGCTTTAATTCACCCTGTTGCATGTATCGAGTTCAAGATGAGTATTTAAAAGAAAAAGACAGTCATGTTCATCAGTTTAATTGAATTGAATACAACTTTATTGTCAAATGTGCTGTACGTATATATATTAAATATCAGTGTGTTCAATTCAAAATAGTTTCAGTACAATTTGAAAATAATTTTAATCTGTTTTTATTTACATTTTCCCAACTTCATTGGAATTGGGGCCACCATTTAGCGATGATGTATCTGAAGTGCACTCGTATCTCACATATTGATATTGTTTTAAACAAGCTGTTTGTCTGGCGCTGTGATTTAGATGGTGATCAGCTCATACTTTATGACCAGTTTGTGCAGAACTCCAGGGTACCCCAAAGGATTCTCATACATTTTCAAGCAACTCTAGGTATGTATTGACAGACACAATGAACGTGACTGAACCATCACAAAGTGACCAAAAAAAAAACCTACCTTGGGCAAGGAATATTTTGGAAGTTTAATTTGGATGAAAACGTCTCTCTTGTAGGAAACATAATAAGTGGCTCTTCCCGTAGTCGGTACCTATAAAAACATAATTCTCAGTTACACAAATAAATCATTTTTGTCATTTTGCTGAATGTGAGGCCTGAAACAAACGATTCTTTTCATAATCGATTCATCAGTCTATTTTTTTGATGAATCATTGAATCAGTAAGAAAATCTATCCCTTTATTCAAACATAAGACATGATTTCAAATTGACAGTGCACAAAAATACACAAACGTGTAAACGTGGCTTGCAAGGACAAAATTCACATGTGAAAACCTGGACTCACCCCATCCACCCATTGTAAATAGCACAGCCACCTTATGCAGCATATTTGCAGTTGCATATATGCTTATATCTATATTTTATATTGCATTCTGTACTGTGTACAGTTCATTTATCTGAAACATTTATTTTGTGCATGCAATACTTTTTGTACCCCCTACCCCCGCCCCCCTTCACACGCTCTCCGAAAGACTTAAACTTCCTCTTGTGTTAATGTCGGTACCGACCAGGTTTTAGATTTTAAATACATAAAAGTACTCTGTAAATTAGTTTTTTGCATTAAGACTATTGGACTTTGTCAGTAACTTTTATTGAAACAACATATACAGCCATCTCGTTACCTCTGCGTCCCGTGTCCTAGACGCATAATTTTCCCGCGGGACGCACAGTTTCAAATAATGTGCGTTTTTGGGACGGAAGGAAATTTCTCAGTCAAAACAAAAAACACTATGGTAAATCTTTTTTTCCAGCAACGATCGCAGTTTAATCATCGCCGCCATTGTTGTTTTCATCTCGCATTAAGTAATTTTGTGTGACAAGATTTCCGTTCTCGCGAGACAAGATTGGCGAGATCGACCTTCACCTCACGGGAAGCAGGCGGTTGCCAAGTTGTGTAACGTTAAAACAAGTGTTGCTAAAGTTTATTGCGGAGATATCACAGAGGAAGCAGCTAAAGTTGGATAGTTTTTTGCGATGATAAATTGACTTTCAGAAAGCGTTGTATCATTGGAAGCAGAGTAAAGAGAGGAGAATTTATGAACTCAAAGACTGAACCATGGGATGAAATAAGAACCTATTTCTCAGCAAATCTTGTATGCCCGAATTATTAAAATTTTTGCAGCATTTGTTTATAAGAAATAAACCAATTATCAATGTATGTTGTTGTTGTTTGTGTTATTATCATATGCAATTGAATAAGTAGACCATTTCAGATTTCGAAATTTGGGATTCTCTAAATGCATAATGGGACTCGTACTTTTCTGATCATCGAGTCCCTGGGACTCGCAGGGCTTAAACTGCAAAATTATCACTGCATATACCGTATTTTTCAGATAATACGTCGCTTCCGATTATAAGTCGCACCAGCCAAAAAACGCATAATTAAGAAGGAAAAAACATAGTGTACGGTATACTAACGTTACATGACTGACATGCATGGTAATGTCAGTAACGACGTATAACATATTAAGAGTTATTCAGATAACTCTAGCATAAAGAACATGCTAACAAGTTTACCAAACTATCAGTTTCACTCCAAATCACGAAATCCAATGAAATCTTCATCCTCGGTGTCACTTGTAAACAACTCCCCCAACTCGGGAGGTAGACAATGCACCGCTTCCTGTTCTACGTCGCTTACGTCAGACTGATCGTTGATTTATCAACACAGGCCGAGAGCGCCTTCTTGTGGTTTAATGTGAAAATAACATGTGAAATGACATAATCATGTGTTAATAATTTCACACATAAGTCGCTCCAGAGTATAAATCACACCACCGGCCAAACTATGAAAAAAACTGTGACTTAATAGACCGGAAAATACGGTAATAAAATATATACATTTTAGCACATTATACAATAGTCTGTTGAAATACTTTGTGTTGTTAAGGGTGAGTGACTACGTTTTCGATGCAGTCACTTACCCTTTGAAAAGCCGAATATTGGCAGTATTTGGCTTTTGAAAGGCCACATAAGCGCAAGCAAAAACCCGACTACAGTATGCTTTTATTCGGCATTTGATTCGTTCTGACATGCATGGGGTGGAGTTACACCCAGCCTATATAGGCTCATAGACTGCCCAACGGCCATAATGTGTCCAGACATTATGCCGACCAGTGAAGTTGACACATCCTATAAATTAGTGAAAAGAATTCAGCCTCAGCGCCAGCAAATGTTTTCACCGGGGAGGAGCATTTTTCCAGGCTGATAGGGGCTTAGCATTTGAACGCGCCAATTACGCTCAGTATAAAAGCGCCATGAGTTAGACTTTAAATCATTTGTTAATTTGATCCATGTTGGTCGTGACTCATGCATTACAAGCACTCACTCGCTTTCTTACTGATGCAACAGCTCCAAACGTGTTCAGTCATGAGCCGAGAATTCTGATTACATGTTATTGGATTGACAAAGAACAGACTGTCAATACACTATGCTCCTTCAAAATGAGCAGTGCACACGGCACTGGCAACGATTAGTATAACTTCCAAGTACACGATGCAAGCTAATCTTGCATTCAAAGAGTGACATATTTCCAAAAGGGAGCTCTGTGGAATCCACGTCTCATGAAAAATGACCTTTTTTTTTTTTTTTTTTTTTTTTTTTTTTACCGTGAGTTCTTTTTAAGATCGATGCTTGATGCATCGGCTGAGTCTGCACTGACCCATTACGTCATTTCAGCAACCACGCAGCTTTAACACATGCCAACATTGTTTGCAACGTGCACCTAAAAAAATCTTTCACCTATGCGGACTGTCTGTGCAGGAATACATGACGGACGAGCAAAAGCTGTTATAAACAACAGTGTTTTGTACTTCCCGATTCTTTTATTTTCATTTATTTTATTAAATGTATGTAGAATACTGTTCACCCCGAATTGTTGCAGTCGATAGTTTACTGAATGAAGAAAAAACAAAAACTATTATTTACTTGCATTGTGGCGAACTGCTGCTCTTTTGCCATAGATGCTCTTCACTGCCTCCTACAGCCTGTGAGAATATCGACTGACAGCAGGGACAAGCCAAATATAAAAGGCTACTCACGTCTCATTCCTACGCAGAACGGACATGCGTCAACCATAACCCAACCTTTACACCAACGAAGTCAATCATCGGAACTTAACACAACAGAGCACACATTTTAACTCCTGAAGAGGACAGTGATACCCCCAGAAACAAACAAGAACTGAGGCCACAGGATAGGCCTGGAAAAATATGTCAAATGAAGAATGCAACAGTCTGGTGGAATCAGTGGTTCGCCAGCTTAAATTAAATATTATTCACTTTAAAACCCATGTACTGCAGTCGATGTAAATAAGTTTATATAACGCAACATACAATTTTACAGAAATTGTAAAAGTATTATTCCTGAATATTTATTTTACTTTCAACCACTCGACATGTTCAGTGGCATCAGTGCTACACATACACATATAGTTCTTATTTTTTTTCTTTGTATTTTTGCCCTCTATGGACAATAAAAGCGGTATTGTGCTATGACCAAAACATAAATATAAATCTATATAAATAAAACATGAATTGGAATATTTCATATCACACAATTTTTATGCTTTGTCTTTGATTTAAAGCTGACAATACGCAAAAATCTACAAAAATTGTAGAAATTGTAACACAAGGGCTACGTTCATTTAAAGATGTCCCTTACAATACTTTTGCTCACTGAAGAAGTCGGTGGCTTCAAGCAAAAGGTGCCCCGTCCTGAGTTGTTTAACACACCTAGATGTAAACACCATGAAATAAAAGTTGAAATTTTAAACTTTTGTCTCATGTTCATCTTGTCTGAAATTCAAGAGGCCTCAGTATACAACAAAAACAACGGAATTGATCTTGCAGTTCCAATACTTTTGGGGGGACTGGATGCCTGAAAATGTCCGTTCTCACCCTGGCAAGAATGTTCGTCAAAACCATTTTCCAGGTCGGCAAAATATGAGTCAGACCACAAGCCAAGTCTGTGGCAGAAAGAAGCTGGATGACCACTGACCAAAGGCAACCATTTAGCCTGCATGGCGTAAGGACACACATTTCGGTCAAAATCCTCCTTCTCATTTAAGGTCTGCGATAGAATGACTTACACATTTCCCGAATCCTTGAACTGTGGTGAATATTACAGTTTGTGCCCTTTTTGTCTCTTCTGTTCCTTGATAGCACATAGCTTCAATAACGTGTATAACCTTGGCAAAATTGTGAAAAAAAATTATGGTTTTTATGATTTGAAGAGCTCCACTGACCTCAAAATTTGACAAAGAGCTTCACATATGGGCCAAAATTAAAGCTTTGAATATGCCCTTTGAAATAATAGCAAACACAATATTATCAGCCACTGACCATCGGCGTCACCGGCATTTGCACCAGCAACAAATATACGGCTTTCATGAGAGGGCATTTTACTTCATGAGATGATAACCACTAAAAACTTACTAGTCTGAGAGGTCTAACATGTCAAAAACATAAGCTAGGGTGGAAAAAAAGAAAATAAATCACAACTGGCTGGGATAGGCTCAGCACGCAGCAGTTTAGATGATGGATGCATGGTTGAAATTTGTTATCAGGGTCGCTGTTGACATTCCTTTTATATAATTCTTCCCGATATGTTTTTGCTGGATTAAAATACTTCCCAATTGTGAAATTCCCCAGCCATCGTCCACCCAAAGACCTGCATCAGCATTGCATCACTCTTCACATTCAAAGATACACACCGAACGTTTGCCGGCTTAGCTGGCAACCCTTTCCACAGTATAGTGATATTATTATTTGATGTAGTCTCCTTTTTCCTCAGGACTAAGGGATGTTTGTGTCAACTTTTTAGGCAACTCGCATAGTGAATCTCTAGTAAGACATTCACGTCAATAGTAAGCCTCTTGCAAAGACAACAAAATGTATCCTGCAATACATTAAATACAAGGACATTGTCAGACAACGCAAAGATGTCTTTTCAGACAGCCTTGATGTTTTGAGTAATGCTTTGCGCAGACTGATCTGACTCGAACATTTTTCAGGCAGAAAACTAGCATATCTTAACTGTGATGTATTTGCTTTGTTTCTCTTGTCATCTTTTTTTTTTTAATTTCTAAATTTTGGTGGGTGTCAAATGGACTTTTATTTTTGACAATGGTTATTTTCTAGCTGGCATTCAAAGGATGTTGTACTCGCAATGCACTTTGAGGTTTCAAAAATGGACTGGTAAATACGCCTTAGGACAATCAATTGTCCAATTATTCTTTGTTGAGGGGAAACATTTAAGTTTCACAACTAAGTCTCGTGTGACGTCTGGGAAATGCAGTGTCCCACAACCTCTTTTGAACCACGGATTGTTTTATATGACGCTATAGTTGACAAACCTTCATAGAAGCCAATTATCAAAAATGCAACCCACATTAAGCTTGAATATATTTGTAATTAGTGGGGCCCTTGTGAATCCTTGAACTGTGGTGAATATTACAGTTTGTGCCCTTTTTGTCTCTTCTGTTCCTTGATAGCACATAGCTTCAATAACGTGTATAACCTTGGCAAAATTGTGAAAAAAAATTATGGTTTTTATGATTTGAAGAGCTCCACTGACCTCAAAATTTGACAAAGAGCTTCACATATGGGCCAAAATTAAAGCTTTGAATATGCCCTTTGAAATAATAGCAAACACAATATTATCAGCCACTGACCATCGGCGTCACCGGCATTTGCACCAGCAACAAATATACGGCTTTCATGAGAGGGCATTTTACTTCATGAGATGATAACCACTAAAAACTTACTAGTCTGAGAGGTCTAACATGTCAAAAACATAAGCTAGGGTGGAAAAAAAGAAAATAAATCACAACTGGCTGGGATAGGCTCAGCACGCAGCAGTTTAGATGATGGATGCATGGTTGAAATTTGTTATCAGGGTCGCTGTTGACATTCCTTTTATATAATTCTTCCCGATATGTTTTTGCTGGATTAAAATACTTCCCAATTGTGAAATTCCCCAGCCATCGTCCACCCAAAGACCTGCATCAGCATTGCATCACTCTTCACATTCAAAGATACACACCGAACGTTTGCCGGCTTAGCTGGCAACCCTTTCCACAGTATAGTGATATTATTATTTGATGTAGTCTCCTTTTTCCTCAGGACTAAGGGATGTTTGTGTCAACTTTTTAGGCAACTCGCATAGTGAATCTCTAGTAAGACATTCACGTCAATAGTAAGCCTCTTGCAAAGACAACAAAATGTATCCTGCAATACATTAAATACAAGGACATTGTCAGACAACGCAAAGATGTCTTTTCAGACAGCCTTGATGTTTTGAGTAATGCTTTGCGCAGACTGATCTGACTCGAACATTTTTCAGGCAGAAAACTAGCATATCTTAACTGTGATGTATTTGCTTTGTTTCTCTTGTCATCTTTTTTTTTTTAATTTCTAAATTTTGGTGGGTGTCAAATGGACTTTTATTTTTGACAATGGTTATTTTCTAGCTGGCATTCAAAGGATGTTGTACTCGCAATGCACTTTGAGGTTTCAAAAATGGACTGGTAAATACGCCTTAGGACAATCAATTGTCCAATTATTCTTTGTTGAGGGGAAACATTTAAGTTTCACAACTAAGTCTCGTGTGACGTCTGGGAAATGCAGTGTCCCACAACCTCTTTTGAACCACGGATTGTTTTATATGACGCTATAGTTGACAAACCTTCATAGAAGCCAATTATCAAAAATGCAACCCACATTAAGCTTGAATATATTTGTAATTAGTGGGGCCCTTGTTTCTTTTCAACACCACAGTCGTATCTTGGAATAATGGGAGACAATGACATCCAAACTCTTTTACTTACTTTATGTCAAGAAGATGCCGTCATTTTTGTTTTTTATCGCCATCAATGCAGAAAATCCCGCTTCACAAGGAAATTATTTTAATGTTTTTTTTTTGGGGGGGGGGCAATTATGAAGACTTCGTTGCCTCAGTTATGTGCCTGTCACCACACATTACGGCAAGTGGTCTTGCCGCGTGAGAATCACAGATAGAGGAGCCTTTTTAGAAAGACTTCTGATATACATTTCTCTTTTCCTGACAGTTGTAATACGTTCTTCTTCTGGCTCATCACTTGTCTGTTTTCTCTTTTCCAAAGCTCTCCAAAGGCTTTTTTATTTTAATATAACTTAATTTGTTGGCTTGCCGGTGTACTTTTTCCACTTCTCACCGTCACATTTCACTCACCTTACCTTAATAATATTTGGTAAAACTGGTTTTGGTGGAAAAATTTCAACCAAAGCATGAAGAAAAGATTGGCTAAGAAGTGACACCCATGGGAATTCACGCAAGACTGGTGTAGTAAATGAACTACATTGCATCGAAAGATACAAAAAAAGAGCTTCTAGGACGCGAGCAGAAACACATTTATTTGGTGAACACTGCACAAACAGTCCTACATGCAATCCAGGGAAAGAGCAGTAGATCGATAGCGAGATTGCCTGAGGCTGTTTGAACTTTAAAAGGAATTGGGATGATTGATTCCCCATCGCTCATCGTAGGATAATACAGTATCAGCTTCACTTTGACAGACACCAACAGAACAGTTCCAAGTTTGACTGAACAAAACTGCCTTTGTACTTAAACGGGCTTTTTCGGTTGAATACAGCTGTATGGAACCTTATTTGCCCATCCTCATAATACATGATAATCATGATGTAGTGGAAATTAAAATACAGATGAGAAATTGCGTCTGTTTTACTTTGAGTTTCCAACATTACCACTTCAAATGTGTCTGTCACACTAACCATGATTAATTAAACACACCAGGCAGTGAAAATGTATGAGCACATATGAAAATTCAAATATTTGTGGGTGAGCACAATGTTCTGTATGTTGTACATACAGAGTATGTACAACATACTTTTGAGTTTCAAACTAACACAATATTAATACTTTCCACATGAAGTCCAACAACAATTGAACACAAATAGTGATTTGGAGTAGGTGGAAAAGTATTACACATCAATAGCACATCTGCATTATCACTCAGAAGTTTGGGGTTTAAATCACAGCTCTGACCTCATTGTTGTATGTGCATGGTTTCCTCCAAGTACAGTTTGGCTCTCCCATTCAAAAAAGCAAACCTGTTAACATGTTTTCCGTACTATAATGCCCACCTAAAAGCATTACATTTTCTCAAAAGCCGGCAGTGCGCCCTATAATCGGATGCGCCGAATAGAAAGAGACTGTAACTCTCTTTACATTCCCCATTGAGTTGTTTCCCAGTTAATGTGTTCCCATTCCATCCAGTGGTGATTATTAGCAGGAAACAATTGTAACCTAAAGGGGTTCTACCCGAAACTAATTGACATGTGCAGTTGCCAGCATACACTCAAACAACTACTAGCTCTGCGCAGCCATTATGAAATGAAGATAATACCAAAAGCAAAGTTAACTACTGACTAAACGAATTTCTGAACCCTGATTTTGTAATGAGGAAGCACGATGCACTCTCGAGCCAGTTGCTTTGAGCAGTGCAAGAATTCATCTCAATGACCCAATGGAGTTCATTTGTAAGGTTAATGGCCTTTTCAAACTACCCGCCTTTTTTGACGTTGACGACGGTCGTGCTGTCAGACATCCACAAAAATATCGTTCTGTGTCTTGGACCGGGTGAGACGTCACACTACAAGTCCTTCAGTGAACAAACCCTGCCCAGGTTGTCAAAGTCATGCCGATGGAGGCATTATGTATGTGTGCGTTTGAAAGCACCCTGTTTACTAATTAACTACTCTCTTTGCAGTTAGCAAACATAGCATGAGTTGACATACATATACATTCCAATATTTCCCCTTTGGTTCAAGTCATGTTTTAAATACTGTAGACAACATTGTGATTGTGTGCGCCACATCCAGTCTCTCGTTAGAACTAGGAGGGCACTGTCTTCCTATTGGGCAATGCTGAAGAACAAATCGAAGAATGACATTGGACGTGTCACACATGGAAAGACAAGCAAAAACACCAGTTGCAATTACACAGGTGATTGCAATCAGTCAGGCTTATATCGTTGATTTAATTGTCAACGAAACATTTGGGCTTTTTTCAAAGTACTGGCTCCTTCTTTATTTTAATTATTTATTTTCGGGTATGCTTTTATTATGCGCCAGTTGAATAGTTTGCCACGAAAGAAAAACTGCAAACGTATTCCATCACTCTGTAATGTTCAGACGCTACTGGTGTATATTGTATATTGCCTAAAAGGTAAAAAAAAAAAAAAAAAAGAAAAAGCTGGTATATGGATTTTGGCCCTTATTGAAACAAATAAAGCAGTACGTCTCAAAAAAGATCTTTTATCACCGACCTGGATGAATATGTAGTCATCCTGAACCACCAATGAACTGATGTCAATGTTTCCAGCGAAGGGGTAGTTCCTCTTGGCTTCTGTGCACATCTGTGCTCTGCACGTGACATACTGCACACCTGGACATTGGAAAAACAGTCAGTGTGAGACCTTTGTAATGACACCATAATATATATATATATACTGTTTGGGGAAGTCTGTGAGGGGATGAGGACTGTAACGGACAGCAAGTGAGTCAAAGCACAGTGAAGGATGACACCGAAAGCTGAACCAGTCCAATCAGTTTACAACAAATTTGATTGTGATGCTAACCTATCATCTAACCAGTTTCTATTCCTCTCATTCTACGTCTTGTCTTTTAGGGTTGCATTCAATATTTTGCGTACTACAAGGCAAGTGAGGACAAATTTACGTTTCTGCTTGATTGCGATCTTTCTTTTTTGAGACATAAATTCTTTTTCTTTGTCTAATTCCCGTTTCTTACGTTGGGCTCAAATAAGCAGTTGAATTCCTTTGTGAGAAAATGCCGCTAATGAAATCACATCTTGTCTGTGATATCGTCGCGCAACAATGCTGATATTCAGCTACATGACTGCAATTTCACTCGCTTGCATAAACACATCCAGCAATGTCGGAGTTTGGTGCCTGCTTTTCATGGAGTGCAAAAGATAATAACAAAGAGAATTGCACTCGGCTTATTTGCAGAGCAAGCCATAGGGTTGTTGCCATGTAGATGTGTTTTATTATTATTATTATTATTGATATATACATGGGTACCATAAACTCACTTCCATCTGGCGTGTGGGCCTCCATGTGGACAAGATCTGACTCCTTATCTAGGCCTGACACAGACCTAGGAGTCAACGACAGATCACATGACTATTTGACACAAGATGGTCATGAATAAAGGGTCATACACTGTGTTTTCTGTAGAATGCAGAATATGAGACGAAAGTCAAAACTGATTTGAATAAAAACATAATATCTAAATCTAGGCTTCCTTGCCAACAGTAAAAAGCAACAATAAAAAGCATTGATTCCCAACCAGTATGCTAAGGGACATACATGTGCAACGATAGATCATTGAGTGCCATTGATTTCAAAATGTATTCAACTACTAAAACTCTCCTACTCCAAACTATCATCATAGCCTCATGCCCATTCATCCCTACACGCTCCACACTATTCTTTTTGTGAAGTACAAAAATGCCTGGTAAATATCATGAGAAATGTTCATTCTGCTTCATCCACACCTTTGAAGCCTGGAATAAGCATTACTCTTATCTCTTTATCTATATATATCTGTTTATTTGTTTTATCTTGTTATTTTCACAAGTCTTGGGTCTTACTGCAATGCTAGTATTACGTGCCATGTCACGTGGAAATACAATTGAACTCTGTTAATGTAACTCGCTTTTGACATATTAGGAAGAATTTGTGTCTTATGAGTAGCGTTATCTCCTGTGTGTATGTTTTCCCCATGGCGTTTGTGTGTGAATATTTGTTTTTTGAAGGAATAGGAATCCCAAAATTGATGCTTATTCCCCCGTTATCATTATCATGGGATATTACATTGGCATTAGCATTAGCGCTTGTGGTGTTTTAAAAGCAAAGCATGTTTTGCATATACAACGTGTGTAATTATTTTAGTCGTGCGGTTAGTCTTACAGTAAACTTCAACTAGGGTGTCATTAAACAGCTCAAAGGATGCTTACTGATGGCAGAATCACAAGTACTCCGAGCCTGCAACTAGGCAACATGGGGCGTTCAGTGTACTTTCACAATGTCGGGAACTTGCAAATGTGCTGCGCCGTTCTGCACGTTAATCGTTTTTCTTTGATTATAACATTTTAAAGATCGAGACAAGCCAAAATCGAATTCACAATTAAATGTATATTAATCATACAGCCTTACTTAATTGGTCTGAAAATTATTCATTTACTGCAAATAATATATCTTTGGTCAATGATCTATGCCAGTGACAGAGATTGACAAGCAGAACAATTTGGTGCTCTTTCACTGAACTGCAGAAGGTATAAAATCAACCAATGTATCCACTTTTTGTGACACTTTTGTTTGGTGGTGTGCAATGGGATGATTTTGAATTTAAATATATTCCTTACCTCAATAAATCTTTTGTAAAACACCGGTATAAAGGGATAGACATACAGCCACAACTGTTAGGGTAACAAAGAAACCGCATACTCTGACTTTGTTACTATCTGAAACAAAATCTTCCTTAGAATACATTTAATGCATGTTAGATAAAATGGGCAGTAGCTGTCTCGCGGCCAAAGGCCACTGTAGAAAAAAAAATACTGTTCATATATTTGATTAATTTATTCATTAGATGCCAGCTATGAGCAAGATATATGAGAAATGAAGTCGCAGTGCTTCAGATCGAGTATACAATTTACTTCACGTTGCCTGATTGTATCAAGATTAGCAAATGGGCAGAATTTTAGCAACATCCCTAGTCAGCCATGCATGCTGCAAATCATCAATACCATTTGGCAATGTCACACAGAACTCAAGCAAGGGCCTTAGCATTCCCACATAAGCGTCACTTTGAAGGAGAGGACTGGAAAAGAATAAAGCGAAGCGAAGATGTGTACAGGTTGACTCACCAATAGAATCTCGTAGGGGTAACATGTTCGTGGACAAGCTGCCATTTCCTTCCAAAGTCTAATGAGCTGTACAGCTGTAGAGAAGAGATAAAAATAAATACATAAATGTTAGCAAGATAAATGTATGTTTCGACATGAATGTGGCCTCAAATTGGAGTAGCTCATTTAAAATTTGAAACAACCTTGAGTCATGGCCAGGTGATTTCAGAATAGAGGTTTGTCTGGGGTTACCAACCATCATCAGAGGACATCACTGATCTGCTGTCATCATTAACAACTACCCATTCAAGCATGCATACTGTCATCAATATAGTATTTTGCTCCCCCTCATCAATTAGAGGGAGAGGAATACATCATAGTAATGATAATTAGGAACCAAAATACAGCCACACAATTAAGTATGGATCTGCTTACATGAGGATGGTGATTGCTGATGGCAACTAGAAGAGTAATGCCATGGGTACCTTCATTTTGATCTATGGTGGGAAGACTTTTTCGGACAGAACAAAACCGTAAGTTTAATATTCTTATTGTGTATTTATTGTTACCCCCCGGTGATGACACCTTTGGTGTTATTTAAATGCAAATTGCACACACATTTGCATGCTATTTCAGGTTTTTAGTAGCTCTAAACATAGGGATATGGATCACTTAAAACACAGATGAAATGTCAATCGACCCCTCTCCTGACCCCTGCCCCCCCTCCCCCCTAGGCACCGAAAATGCAGTGTGAATCTATCCCAAATGAGTACAACTTTGAAAATTGCATGCAAAATGTGATTTCATCAAATGATGAAATCTGGAAATGTGCTTCAACAATAGGTATGAAGAGAAGAAGAATTTTATAAGAATATACACAATATATGGTGACCACGGGATGCATTTGGTGAGCCAGGTTAATTTTATCTTAAAGACTGAATATATGATTGTATTTACATTTTATCATTACTATCCATGGAGGCCATACATTGTAAATAGCACAGCCACCTTACGCAGCATATATGCAGTTGCATATATTCTTATACTGTATCTATATTTTATATTGCATTCTGTAGTGTGTACAGTTCTTTTTTCTAAAACATGATTTTGTGCATGCAATACTTTGTTTTTCTTTTCTCATCCCCCAACCCCCCTTCAATTCTGCTGCTGTAGATTGCAAATTTCCCGAGTGTGGGACAAATAAAGGTTTTCTTATCTTATCTTCTAACTTATATTTTTTACTTTAATGTTACTTCCCCTATTGAATACAAATTACAGGACCAACCTCCCAAAACAGATTGTTTGACCTTTCTGTCCCATGAAACAGGCCTAGCAGTCATTCAGTACTGGGAAAGCTGTTTATGAATCGTTGCGAACCGTCGGCTCATTGTTTTGAGTCCAATATACAGTGAATGACTTGAGGGCTTTTGAGAGATGTGAGGAGACCACCGCTTTCTTTCCATTCCGTCCCTGAGGTGAAGGAATGGATTCTGTGTTAGCTGGAAGCACACATTTGTCAAGACCTTGGTGAAGTTGAAGTGTAATACACGGTAACCCATGGGCATATGATTTGCCCTGAATTGGCTCTCTGATTCTTCTAGCTTCTGTATAAAAAAAAAGGTTCCCTGCTGGAGCAGTTGGCCTGATGTAGCATCGAGCCAAGCAGGATATCTCATCTCTTTGGACAGTGACATATGGACCAGCGGGCACAGCTTCTACCCTCTCTATTCATCAGTTCATTGACATCTTGGATTTTCAAACCTCTGAGCTGTCACCCAGTTTGCTTCATAGTTTTCCCCACTCACATGGTTAAATCAAATGCGTGGTCACTCAGCTGCCACACGAGCCTGGGGACTTTGATGGCTAAATTGCAAATGTTTATTCAGCAAGAGCAACGTGTTTCTTAAAGTCCACCTGATCTAATTGTTGTTTTCTTCCGAGGACATTTTAGCATTTGAGTAATTATGATGATGATTATTTGATCTGAGATCTTATTTGGGCTCAGCCTGCATACAAATGTGTCTGTCCACGATGGCAGGGTTCAAAGTGGGATTGTGTTTAATCATTTGTTCATGTTATTCATTCATACTTTTCCAGGACAAAATATAAAGAGGCTTCCAAATGAATGTCACTAAAAAACGCACATCTAATTTGAGGCACTATCATATTAAACAAAATCCCACAGTCATACAAAAGATAAGTGCGTGTGTGTGTGTGTGTGTGTGTGTGTGTGTGTGTGTGTGTGTGTTAGTGAACAAAGAACTGTTAACTGTTACCTGACAGTTACCGTAATTATTCAACAAATCATCCAAATTGTTTTTTCTTTTGTTTTTTTTTTTTTAAGTTGTACTCCCCACCCATATGTATTGCACCAGTTAAAGTCGATACATGTACCAGTAGTTTTTTTTTAATCCTTAGTGGATTTTAAATTGAGGGAAAGCCAACACATAACAAAAATCCATCTATCCATTTTCTGATCTGCTTTATCCTCACAAGGGTCACGTGGCAGGCTGGAGCCTATCCCAGCTGTCTTCGGGTAGTTAGTGAGGTACACCCTGAACTGGTTGCCAGCCAACCGCGGGGCACACATTGACGAACAACCATTTGCGCTCATACTCCCACCTAGGGACAATTGAGAGTATTCCATTAACCTGCCTTGCATCTTTTAGGAATGCGGGAGGAAACCGGAGTACCCGGAGAAAACCCACGCAGGTACGGGGAGACCATACAAACTCAACACAAGAAGGCTGGAGCCGGAATTGAACCCTGCAACTCTTCACTGTGTGGCCGATGGACTATCCAGTCGACCACCGGTCAAAACATCATGACAAAAAATTGAGTGCAAATTGTCTTTATAGCGTGTACTTCAACATGAACAACACAGCACAGTCTTCACATCATCTGCCACTGACAATAAAAAGTCTCGTCCCCCCAAAACAGAGGTCTTGCGCAATCAAACTTGACATAGTCGCCGGACTGACTCGTGAGAGACGGAGAGTGCCACGGGGCGATTCAGATTCAAAAAAATAAATAAATAAATAAAAAAGGAGAAGGTCGTCTAGCTCTTTTTATCTTGAATCACTGCCATGTCCACTGTCATTTCTACTGTTCCAAAAACTGGATGACGCCTCCTCTATCTAACATTCTCAGTTCTTTTCTGAAGCCGTGTTCTTACACGTTGACCAACAATCTAAGCTTTAATAATAAAATAAAGAATACTCTTGTTACTTTAAACTGCTGCTTGTTGTTTCTTTTTTTTATGTCACACCACAGCAAAGCAGATCAAATTATGATTGAATACAAATGGGATATATTGTATGTCACAGGGCTATCAATCCAATTTAGTCGAAGCTCACTAGAAGTCAATCACTTTCAGCTGTTACATATTGCAAAGTGCACGATACACACGATCACAATATCCTTCACATAGGAGTTCCTTCTTGGATACTGTTGAAGTCCAGTGGGGATTATGTCTGACAGTTTATTATTTTATGCATTCTTCTGTATTTCATTTTCCTTCACAAGCTTCTTACAGGGAAAAAAAAAGATGGAACTGAATTCAATCAAACACAGGTGGATTGAGAAATGATTTAAGCCTCTCGGAGTGAAGCTTAATGTACGTACAAGTCACTCAAGGCTAATGATTTGACAGTTTTGATTTTTCTTCAAGGTTTATTTGTTGTTGCAATGGGACTGGTTAAAAGTATTTCGTATGAGCCTTTTTACAAAAGATGAAAAATAAAGTAGATGTGACTGAACAACTTTTCTGCAGCTCCACATCCTTTGAATTCAACGAGGAAATCAACATGTACAGGTCACAGTGAGGTGCTCAAGTCCCTTGGGCGCAGAATAGCCCCGTTCACACGGCAACGTTTGGTCTGACGCTGCGCCGAAACAGATCCAGTCGAGCGTTCACAGGTGCACATTTGCTTAGACGTAGCTCCACTAAAGAGCTGATACCGGACCAAATTTGATCCACCTCAGGAAGGTGGTTTAAAAATTTGCTCCAGAGCAAATGCTCGCTTGCGGGGGAGTGGCCTCGCTACTCTCGCTACCAGATGCACGGAATCCGACCCCGGTCAACAGTGACGAAGGGGCCAGCGACACAGACGAAGCCCGGCCGTGCACCCCCGTTCCCGGTAAAAGTGTCGGCGATTTAAGCGGTGAAGACAGCGCTCACAATCAAGAAGAGAATCGAGAAAGCAGTGACGTCAGCCGAGCCCGATTTGCAGGCCCGAGCCCGAAGCAAACCTGACATTTCATATTTTATTTGTGAGTATTTTTGGGAGAAAAAAAAAACAAGATTTCTTACGGTTAAAATAATCTACATATTTTTATGAACATCATATGTTCATTATCATTATCAATCATCATCAATGCATTTGCACAACGAAATAACGCTGAAATACAGAATAAGAGGCCAGACAAAAA